AGACAGGAAATAGATGATGATGAAATCTTTGAGATGATAGAGCGCAGAAACAGACTAACGTGTGATTACTTTTCAGACTTTGTTAACAATAAAAAGAACATAAATTATAACTACAACATCGATAATGATTACGACCATAATTTCGGTGAATTACTCAAATCTACTCATGAATTTTCGACTTTGGAGCTTCAAAAGTCATCCTTGAAAACTTCTGATCAGACTGCAACAAAGGAAAATCCAGTTACAACCGCTGATGATACAAGCGTTACTTCTAATGATACTACTGTTGCTAATAATCCGATTGATACTAGTATCAATGATACTGTATCATCTATTAAAGTAAATGATGATCAGAGTATAGGTGACAAAAAACTTTCGCGAACTATCCAACCATTAGATGAAAGTACAACTAATAAAACTTCAACAACTTCTCAACAGACAACTGAAACAACCACTCCAACGACAGTTAAGATTGTAACGATGACGACGGTGAAGAGCACATCCTCACAGCCTAACGACGCCATCTTCACTAATTTAACCGACGGCCAGATGCGGATTAACTATCATCTTGATAATGTAACAAGTGAACCAACTGCTCTGGACAAAATGGATGCGAATCTCAATGATACCAACCAACAAACTAACGTTAATAATATTGGTTTAGACACAACAACAAACATACCAACAACAACTTTTACTAGAACTACTACAACTTCCAACATTACAAACAGTCACGTGCTCACGATTTCAGAAACTGACCAATCACAACCAGAACGAACTCTTCCATCGGACCAATCAGAATTTAGAAAAAACGAAATTTCCGCACGTGAAAACAGCACTAAACATGGTAAGGATGCGATAAACGGAGATGCTAGAACTGCGGAAACTGGGAATGTGAGAATTAAAAATTCTAAAAGTGTGACAAAAGAAGATATGGTTATTAGAGATGCAACAAAAGATGCAGTAATTAAAGACGTAACGAAAGGAGAAACAACGGATACAGACGTGGCAATGGAAAACTTGAAAATTGTTGATTTGAAAAATGAGAGTCCGGAACTTAAAAACACAAAAAACAGCGCACATCCGGAAGTTAGGGATGTAAAAAATAGTGATGTGCGTGGTGCAGACGAACAAAATGTTAACAACAGCAAGTCTGCAGTCGTTGTTGCAGAGCCTAACAAGCAAGATGATGGTGAGCAGCCTGTAACTAACGCCTGCGCCCTTGAACATACATTAAATAATAATAATAATAATAATAATAATAATAATAATAATGATAATAATAACGATAAAACTGTTAATGAAAGTAGTAGTGGTGCAGTCAGCGTAGACAGTAAAAATAAAAAAAGCAAAAAGCATCATAATAATAATAATAATAACAAAGATGATAACGAAAGAGTAGTGGAAAATAGCGTTGCTAAAAGTATTAAACAGAACACTAATCGTCAGGCTGGTGAAGAATTAGTGAAGATGGCGGATTCCCCAGCTAAAAATACTAAAATTACTACTACTTCTACTACTAATGTTACAACTAGTAGCAACGATACGAGCAGTTGCAATGCAGTTGTTGTTGTTGATGGAGACGATGACTTTCTCGATATTTCAAGTGTGGAAATCAACGTAAATATTTTTCTTTATCATTTTTTTTTTGATAATTTGTGTGTGTGTGTGTTTAGGTAGGCGTGCGTGTCTGTGTAGAGAGAGAGAAAGAGAGAGAGAGAGAGAGAGAGAGAGAGAGAGAGATAAATATACATATTTAATAAGTTTGAGTATGAAAAGTGCTGGTAATATAATAATATGTTTGTATAGTTAAATTTTTGGCAATATTTTCAACGTTTAAAAAGCCCCATTGCTTTATTGTTATTATTAAAAGGATTAAGATAATTCTTTATAAAATATCACTGTATATTTGTTTTCTTTGATAGCCCGCCAACGACAACTCAACATTACTGGAGTATCTCGTTGAAAATCCTCAAAGAGCACATCCCCACAACGTCCCCAGTGGCAGCAAGGACCCGGACGAGTTAGTGAAAGATCTATTAAACAGACATAAAACGGTAGATAATAAAAAAATGAAAGAGAAAACATTGAGCCAAATCGAAAGTGAAATTGATCAATCCATGGGAGAAACAATAATAGCTCAGGAATTCCCCACCGTTGAGAATCATAATCATCATCTTCTTCCTCATCTTCATCATGGCGACCAGTTTGATGACGTCATTGACGATGATGAATGGCCGTCGCTTGATGGAAAGAACGTCAAACAAAATAATCCTGGTAATAGTAATAAAAAAAGAAGGAATAAAAAGAACCGTGTTACATTCAACGATAAAAATGACGATGGTAATGTTGATGTTGAAAAAATTCACCCCCTTGATAATGATGCCGCAGGCGACGTAATTAATATTCATGAGGTCGATTCTATAAATAAAAGTCCTGAAAGACCCGGTGAAACAAAAATAGAAACCACAATGCCACTTGAACGTAACAACGACAAAGCAGATAATCTCAAAATAACTACTACCACCACCGCTGCTAATATTGTTAGTAACAATTCAGTTACTGAAACTACTGCAGCTACTACTTCGACTTCTGTTACTACTACTGACACAAGTACTAATGCCATCACGTTGGCCGCTATTATATCGACGACAACAACTACCACCACAACTACAAGAGCGGTTGAAATCACTACTAAGAACAATGAGGATGTCAGTCATATCAGCAACCAAGAAAACTTAAAACCCACTCCTAAGCAGAGAAAACGAAAAGCAAGCGATCGAGATAAAACTCAGAAGAATGAAGCGTCTCATCAGGAAGTAACTGCTGTAGAAGCAACCACAGCTGCTACAGACACAACTACTACAGCTACCGCACCTACTACGACTACCACATCTGCCACAGCTGTTACAGCTATTACAACTGTTTCCACAGTTCATGATTCAAAGAGAGCTGATGTATCTTCCTCTATTGCTACGACATCAGCTAATGAAAATACTGCAACAGCAGTTGAAATCGCCGCTTCAGTTGCTACAGCTCTAACCCCGGCTATTGATTCGAACCCAGTCGAAACAACAACAGTCGTTAATGTAGTTAATAATAAAGTGGCTAGTGAAGTTACTTCAAATACCTCTGAAATCACTACTACAACTGACGCCAAAACTACATTAGTAACAGTCAACTCTGATATGAATAAAACTCTGGAAGATGGTGTTAGTGCCAACAAGGCTGATGTACATGTTAACAGTGGTGATGTTGCTGACGATGGTGGTGATGATGGTGGCGGATCCAGTAGCGTTAACAAGAATAATAAGAAGAATAATAAAAATAAGCAAAGGAATAATAAACAGCATAATGATAATAATGATAATAATAATACTAAAAACCGAGAAATTCCAAATAATATTAACGAAAGTGAAGCAACGACAGTTGCAGCAAATCTCGCAACAACAACAACAACATCATTATCAGCACTTTCTCCAACAACATCATCATCAGCACTTTCTCCAACAACATCATCATCAGCACTTTCTCCAACAAAAATAATAACAACAACTTCGCCGCCATCAACAACAGCAACATCAGAAAACAGAATTACTAACAACAACAACAACAACAACAACAACGATACCTACCGATATATCACATCATCGGCCGTCACGTACGTCAGCGAGGATGGCAAATGCAAAGTTCTAGAACAATCTCGTGGCCCTGTCCACAGTGTTATTGCTGGTGTTGATACTATCCTTACTACTGCTACTGATGTTGGGGACCAAAAAGTTGAGAATAATACAGGGGATAAGAGGATTGACAACATCGTTAAGACAGATGTTTTAGCAAAAGTTGAAGAGAAGGCTGAAGTTGTTGGGAGTGCTACTGGTGAAAAGGATAAAATTTCAGCAGTTGTAGCAGCAGCATCTTCAACAACAACAACATCGACAAAACCATCTCCAACACCACCAACAACAACAACAAAACCATCTTCACCACCACCAACAACAACACAAACGACAACAGACAATACAGCAGAATGTACTGATGCCGATGAAACATATCATTACGTAAAATCATCTGCAACTATTAAAACTAAGGCAGATGGTAGCCCTGAAGTCCTGGATGGACAACCAGAGCGTGAACAGAGAGTTGTGAAAGGTGTCGATACGATAATCAATGATGATAATGCTGCTGCTGTTGTTGTTGTTGACAACAAAGTTGAAAACTTTTTCAACAAAACTGAAAAGAAAGATGGCGTCGTTCATTTGGTAGTTGATGAGAAGGAGGTTGAGAGAAAAGTTGATGTTTTCGTAGAGAATATTATTAAAGATGTCGTTGCTGATGTTAAAAATGTTGAAGCAACAACAATTTCATCGTCAACATCTGCAACATTTTCAGCAACAACATCAGCAACAACATCGGCAACAGTTTCAGCAACAACTTCAGCAACAGTTTCAACAACAGTTTCAACGACAACAACATCAACAACGATTAGTGATGACAAAAAAGGGAAAAAGAATAAAAACAAAAATAAGCAGAAAGAGCAAACTATCGAAAAGGCGGATTTTAAACTCGACAGCGTAAAATCCAACGACATCAAAAATCTTGGCGACGTAGAATCTAGAAACAGCAGCAACAAGGAAAATGTTCAAACAGCCAACAACGTGCCTTCTATTGGAGAACCAGTTTTGCAAAAGCATCAACAACAACAAAAACAACAACATCAACAACAACATCAACAAACCAAAAAACCATCCGGAAACAGCAAAAGACGTAACCGGAAAACCCGCGCCAGCGAATCGGAAAAATCAACAGTGGCTGCAGCAGCTACAGCAGCAACAACAAAAGATACGAAAACATCGAACAACATCAGCAGCCCGAGCATCTTATCAGATGGCGATGATGACGTCAAAGAGGATGATGATGATGATGAGGTCAACGGCAATCATCATCATCCTCATCATCATCATCATGATGAACACAATGGCGACGACAAGACCAACAAAACGAAACATAACAGGAGCGAGAAAAAAGCAAGGAAGGCGCTTTCCAAATTGGGATTGAAATCTATCTCGGGGATTTCCCGAGTCACAGTTCGGAAATCCCAAAACATTTTATTCGTGATCGACAGTCCGGACGTGTATAAGAACCACTCGTCCGAAACGTACATCATCTTTGGAGAGGCCAAGGTGAGTCGCATTTGCTTCTCATTAATATTTATATTATTAAGGGGTAGAGCCGAAGGGTCATTTGGCTTGGGCCTCACAATTTAATGAAAGATCAATTAAAGTAAAATTTTGAAATGAACGTTTACGTCTACTTTGAGTATCTCGATTAATTAACATTTTACCTCATGAATATTCATGACATAACTTATATTCCCAAGGTCGAGGATGCCAGCCAGCAAGCTCAAGCGGTCGCAGCTGAGAAGTTCAAGCCGCCCACAGCTGCCACAGCTGCTGCCGCTAATGAGTATTCAACAACTTCGAAATTGATTGACAGCAAGGAGGAGGAGTCAGACGGAGAGGTTGACGTCATACGTATAATAATTTTGAAAAATAATTATGGATTATAATTATCTCAATTCTCGTTGCATCATCATTATTATCTTAATCACTATTGCAACTGTTTTTATCACATCATAATAATTATTATTTTCATCATCAAATTTCACTCTATCATTTTGTAGCTGGATGAGACGGGAATCGAACCCAAGGACGTCGAGTTAGTGATCTCCCAAGCTGGAGTCTCCAGGAGGAAAGCCGTCAACGCTCTAAAAAGAAATCAGAACGATATCGTCAATACAATCATGGTATGTATGTATGGGTGTATGTATGTACGTGCGTATGTGTGTGTGTGTGTGCGTGTGTATCTGTGTGTGCGTGTGTATCTGTGTGTGTATGTATGTATATGTGTGTATGTAAGTTTTTTGTATGAGGTTGTGTGAACCGTTATTTTAATCCATTTGAAAAAATAGCGCTGATGATTCTAATGTATTTGACTTCCTTTTAAAGGAACTTACAATGTGATGATGCCAAGCAAAGACCGGGATGAGGATGGCGATGATGAAGAGAGAGATGACGAGGAAGAAGAAGATGATGATGAAGAAAATGATGAAGATGGTGGTAAAAAATGATGATGCCGTTTATGATGAGAGGATGTGGTTGTGGTATCAAATCAAAATTCGTTCATTCGTTTGTTAGTTAGTTTATTCACTCACTCACTCACTCATTATTACATACAATCTTCATTTATTCATTCATTCATTCATTTATTCACCAATTCATTTATAAAATTATTCGTCTTCAACCATTTCGATTAAATGGTGATAATGATGATGATGATGAGTAGGAGGATGACAGAGCAGTAATGATAATGATGTTGTTGGGGATGATGATGATGTCTCTGGTGATGATTATGATGATCTCAGCTAATCAAAAGCAAGTAAAAAAAATGCCATTCAAACTGATTAGTACAACTGCATACAACACACACACACACACACACTCACACACACACATATATATATACACATTATATATATACACATATACACATTATATATATATATATAATTCGTACACAATACATACATGCAAACAAACATACAAACATACATACAAACAAACATACATACAAACAAACATACATACAAACATACATACAAACATACATTCACACATACACGTATATATATATACAACATGCGTGTTACCAAGTATTTTTGTTTTTGTAATGTAATATTTGCGTTACAACTTAACGACAGATGTTTAATGTGAGTGTATAATTGGTTTGTATGTATGTACGTGTTTGTATGTATGTACGTGTTTGTGTGCGTGTAAGAATTGATGTGTGTATGTCTATATATGTATGTATGCTTTGCATGTACGCCTGCATACATTCAGTATGTAACATTCAATTCATCAGTTCAGAATAATAACTTCTCAACTATTATTACCACTACTGTTGTTGCTACTACTATAACCTTCATCTGATACTAATGCATGTATGTATGCACGTCTGTGTGTGTAAGAATGTATGTATGTGTGTGTCTGTGCGTGTGCATGTACGTATTACCACAACTAATTTGGTACTGATACATAATCTCATTCAATTCATTCGATTAAAACTATTTCGCACTGTTTTCGGTCTCTCTCTCACACACAGATACACAAACACACACAGATACACAAACACACGCACAGATACACAAACTTATATAAATATATATGTATAATCCTATTAGCAATATTTAGACATAGGAGGCACATGTGTATTCAACAGCATCATGAGGACGCACATTTATTGTATTTTTTAAAAGATTTTTTCGGGAAAAATTTTAAATATTTACATTTTATACCGTCTTTTCAGTTTTTGCTTATTTTAAATTTTAAAACGCGACACACACACCTTAGTTTTGTGGGAAATTTGTAAACCTATCTTACACATTAATCTCAATGCAATACGTATTGAATTTAGCTACTGTGTATTACAATTGATTGCATTATCTTCATTTGTCCCTAGCTTTTTTTTCAAATTTCAGTTTTTTAGAATTATTTTTCACAATTTTGTGTAAAAATAAATCTTATATATGTATATATAAGAGTGGAAAAGGAGAGAGAGAGAGAGAGAGAGAGAGAAAGAGAGAGAGAGAGAGAGAGAGAGAGAAGAGTAGATAACTTCGACGGATAAAACGTTTTAAATTAAATAGAACTAATACATATTTGCAATTTTAATTTTACGGGCAAAACTGATATAATGATTCAAGTGAGAAGAGAAAATTATTAATTTGTAATAAGTCATAATAAAACTAATACATATTTACATACATTTTTATCATGTGAAATTATTCTATCATACATGTAAATTTTTTGGCTTGAAATTGTGATTTTTGATGTTTGGATTATATACAATTGTTACAGGAGAAAATTATTTGAAAGTTTGTTAGCTTCAGATCCATAACGAAATAATCTTTGCCTCTAAAATATAATTAAAACTTGAAAATAAAATACGGCATTCATCCATTCACGCTCATTCATTTGACAATCATTGATTAATTAATTCCCCTATCAAATCATAGTCATGTTTCATTCATTCATTGATTTATTCGTTGTTCACTCAATCACTAGTTAGCCATTTGTTTATTCATTCATTTATCCCACACTCACTATCATTCAACTATCCACATCCACCAATCATCCAAGCAGTCATGCATGAATTCATCCATTCATCCACCATAATTCACTCACTTAAAAATCATTCATTCATTCACTCATTCATCATCATTCACTCATTAAAGCACCAGTCACCAGTCTTCACATCGTCATCATAATCATCCAAAGCTATGAGTCTTTTGATTGCCGGAGCTACATTGAAATTTTTCAGCCCCCCATACACATTTCCATTTTTGACCGCCATCGTGGACCTAACGACGACCAAACATAGATCCAACAAAGGGACAACATCAGACTGATATTTGTCTATGGCCTGCGTTTGTGCTGTGGATTTCTCTAGAACTCGCGCGTAGCTACTTGAGAATTGAAAACCGTTTTTAAGCATAGCAATTGAGAGATAGATTGCCCATTTCTTGAAGGCTTGTCGAGAGTATAGTCTGAAAAGTTCCTCTTCAATTTTTTGTCGTCGTTTCATGTAAAAGTTACGAGTTCGTGTTTCAGTTTGCTGCTCTGGTGAGGTTCCCACATGGTTATTGTTACTGATGCAATCATCACTTTCTTTTACCTTTTTCTTGTTTTTATTGTACATATCATTCGACCATTTAGTGTGAAAATTCCTGTGCAAGTCTTCGCATGGAAAAGTTACAGATGCCTTTACAAGAAGTTTAAAAGTCGTGTAGAATCTCTCACGAATGTAGAAGACTCGCTTTGTTGAGTTTATCAGCCTTCATACAGGAAAGAAATAGTATTTAATTATTATTTAAATTCAATTTTGATAGTTGAATGCAAAATAAAATAAACAATAAAAATATGAAAAAAATATGAATAAAAAACTATGCAATAACATGATGAGAAATAGTCATAAGTACCTTTGCAAAGGCTCTCCCCAAAACTCAATAACCTTCAATTTAGGGCCACAATCCCCACCGTGCACTAACAACATATCAGTAACTTGACAATTCCCAACATCAATTGACATCAGCACAGATTTTAAACTGACCTTAACAATTTAATCAAGTGAAAATTTAATTAGAAATAAATTTAATAGTTTGAAATTTTTGAAAATCATTTTTCGGTAATCTTTCACTTTACGTTGGTTTATTCTCAATGCATTTAAATCACCATTTATTTGAAGACAGAAAAGATCGGCGGAAACAAATTACGTGCAAACGTTAGTAGTTGTCTGCTAGAATAATTAGCATCTGACCGGTTAACAATGATTTTCAAAACACATTTACCTGATCCCCGTTCGATTGCACCAAACAACCAGTGTTCTTCACTGAACTTGCCATAGTGATATTTTCTGTGAAAGTACTTGCTTTCATCTTCCTGTGTTGTGAATTGTTAGGGCTGGCATTCAAAGTTTTCAATAAACTAACGTTGTTAATATAAACCAACGTAAAGTGAAAGATGACCCATATTTCTAACCGAGGAGCCACCGTCTAACAGGGCACAAATATTCCTGATTTTCTGATTTTGTATGGCATGTTCAATGGACAGTCTAGAACATTTTAAACTACCCATGTTGTTCACATCAGCCCCAGCATGCAGTAAAGAGTGCACTATTTTATCACAACATCCCTCCCCAAAGGTACGATAGCAAGCAAGATGGAGTGCTGTACAACCGTTTTCCGTGTGGGGACTGTCCGGATCAACTCCGTAATTGAGCAACAGCAAGACGCAATTGTAACTTCCATACCAGGCTGCTGTGTGCAGTAAATTACGACGTGCCAACTCTTTCGGGGACGGACAGTTCTCGGTCAGTAAAGCTTGCAGGCGATTCACTAATCCTTGCTTTGCAGCCAGCTCCAACTCTTGAAACACGCTTTCGCTAATTCCTCCGATGCAGCTGGTGATTGTTTTGTTGCAAAAACTTGCAACCGTCATATTTATTTTTTAAATATTATGTGTGCCGTAAAAATAAAAATTAGAAAATTTTTTAGAGACTGTTACGTCGCCATTCTTCTGCTAATTTCGACCTGTTTCCGCGTTTTTGTTCAATTTTTTGCAAAATTTAATTATGCCAACGAGCGATCAGATGGCATTAATCTCTAATTTCAACGAATAAGGCGCTTTATTTTTTTAATTCCGACACACTTGAACACACACACACATATATATATATATTTATATATGGAACACATAATGCTTGAACATGATCAAAAATTTATTCGATTCAAATAGTTTTAGTGAAAGCACATTTCAAAAACCATGAAAACAACTTAAATTTCGAAAAAACGTTCCAGGAAAAAGCAGAACTGGTGCCGAACTTAACAAAAAAAAATTAATTTAAACAATTTCATAAATGTTGTGTTAGTTGACAGTTTTAAATGGTTCACTCCAATCTTTCACCTGAATAGAGTCCGTGTATTTTAGTGAAGAAGTCTTGTTGTAAACAGGCAACAACTCACTGGCCTCCTTAGGCAGAACCTGTCAACAGTTAGGTTAGGTTAGCTTGGGTTAATTGGTTGGCTCGGGTTTTTTGATTAACTTGTAGTTTGTAGGTATATGAATGTGCATAAGCATAAAGATGAAAGCCATCCTAAATGTATAATTATAATACAGAATATTGTAATATTTTATAATAATTAAAACTTTAAATTACTTTTAAATAGAGAAGAGCATCGGTTCCAAAGCCATCGACAGAGTTTATGATCAGGTCTCCATTGAAATACTTTGCATAGAGTCGAGATATGGGCAGGCCGTAACCATAACCCGCCTAAATTAGTTTCGCAAATGATAACAGTAAGACATGCAATGATACTACCGATCAGCCTAACAATAAAAGGCAGGACAGTTTAATTTAAATAAATGAATGATTGAGCGAATCAATAATAAAAGGAATGAATAAACGAATGAATAAACAAATGAATGAACAAACAATAACTGGACCTAAATACAGTATAACAAAATTAAAATTATTACCAGGGGTGGATTAGATTTAGCGCTAAAATCAGACGGAAGTTTAGCAGACGTGTAAAGATAATTGAATATCTTATCTAAGTCTTTTCTCGGTATGCCTCCTCCGTGGTCTGCCAACTAACAAAACAAAAATAATTCAATGAATGAATAAATAAATAAATAAATGAAGAGCTCACTCTGATGGTGATGTCCTCTCTTCCTTTGCAAATTAGGACGTCTAATGGAGGCAGACCGCTGCTGTGGTTACTGCTGTTGTTGTTTTTGTCAAACTCAACAACAGCTCTTAATGAATTCTGAAATTTGAAAAAATTACGGTTATAACAATAATAATATAATAAAAATATTAACATTAATAATTAAAACGATATTTAAAACTACCAAGAGTATATGCAAGGTAGAACCAAAAACATGGAGAGGTATCACGGTAAGATAATAACAATATCACTATAAATAACCCTTGTTATATCTCCGTGTATGTAATTAATTTAATGAATAATTAAATCAACTAATTAATTAATTAATTAATAAGCATTATTAATATCGACCTTGAATAGTTCGAAGAGGATATAATAAAGATGTACCGGTACGTAGGTCATTGAAATCTTGTCGCTATGATCGTCCACGTCATATGCTGAGTGATAAAAGAAGAAAATGTTAATTTGAAATTTTGCTTGCAAAATTTTCAGTTTGATAACAAATGAACAAAAGTATGTTAAATAGATACATAGATAAATAATTCAATTGAATACAAAGAAAGAGAAACAATGATAAATCAAAGTACTATACAAAGATGATCAAAAAACATAGACATCTCACACAAAAATAAACAATTGAACACATAGATACGCATACATAATTACACGAAAAAAAACATAGAAATAAAAATAAACAAACAAATAAATACCTAGACAAATAAAAACATAGACAAACTAACACTCAGAAAAATAGTCATTCAACACAGATAAATAAACCACATAAAAACAAAGATAATTAAGTGGAACAGACGTTTTTGAATGTTGAACATGCATTCTGGGGCCACTTTGTAATACTGCTCACAGAGAGATCTGGCGTTTCTGTAGGCATCTATAGAGAAGAAAATTATTATTATATATAATTATTAATAATAAAACTGTATAATTATTCACAATTATTCGTATAAATATATTATTATTTATGTAAATGTCTATTTTTTAAATGAATTTATTAATATTATTAAAATAATTAATGAGTGACGGGATGAATGAATGAAGGAATGGATTAGTGAAGTGACGAATGCAAGAAATGAATGATTAAATAGATGAATTAAGGAAGAAAGGAATGAATGAATAAATGAATGAATGAATGAATGAATTTACCGTAAGCCACCGCCTGTACATCACAATCAGGATCAAAACAGCCAATCAAACTGCTGCTATTAATAGAATCGGATTTTCCAAACAATAATACTGAAAAAATAAAATATTTTAAATTATTATTTATATTATTATTAACATTATTATTTATCAATCAATCGTAAATTGTAAAGCGCTATTTGCGCGATGTTCATCAGCGCTCCTCAATGATATTTGCAAGCAGATAGGTCTTGAGATCCGCTCTGAACTTCGTAAGTGATGGAGAAGTAGTCAGAGAAGTAGGTAGAGAGTTCCATAGAAAAGAGCCAGAAAAAGCAAATGCGGATTTAGCAAAGGAGTGTTTAACACGAGTTAACAAGAGGTGAGAACATGAAGACGATCGTAAACCGGCTCGTTTAGGTTCAATTAATATATCTGATAAGTACTTAGGAAATAATTTAGATTGAGACTTGTACATAAATGTGCAAATTTTAAAAATTATTCTAAATTTTATTTAGAAGCCAGTGCAAGAGAACAAGATATGGAGATATATAAGAAAAGAAAGGGGCTAAATATTATTATGATATAGATAAATGGATAAGATAGAAAGATAGTTGGATGGATGGACGGATGTATAGATAAATAGGTTGATAGTAGGTAGATAGATAGATAGATAAATAATGAGAAAGAGAGAGAGGAGAGAGAGAGAGAGAGAGAGAGAGAGAGAGATAACAACAGCCATAGAAACAACAAAAAACTGACGATGTTGATGAATGATGAGTCGAATACTGATTCTACTGAGATAGAACCTATCAAGGAAGTAGTGAATTCGTTCGTCTAGATTGCTCAAATCTTCGACGTGTAGGTAATCCTTCATTTCGACCATGCCGGCGGCCATTTTCTCAAAAACAGTCAAATGTCTATTTCTAATGTTATTCAGTGATTCTAGGAATCTAAAAGAGGATTGGTAAAAGATTGATAAAAGTGGATACATACGTTTGACGTCCAATAAGCTTTTTTTTAATCCTAGAAATTTAAAATCAATCTATGACTTATTTGCTAGCTAAGGTAATAAATATGATATCTAAATGCCAGTTTAGTTTATACATTTCAAGTACTTAAAAGGAAATTTGTATGTTAAATGGTACAATTATCAATACTTCTACAATTACTACTACTAATACTACTACTACGACTACTACTACTACGACTAATACTACTGCGACTACAGCTACTACTACTGCTACTACTACTGCTTCTACTACTACTACTACTACTACTACTACTACATTAAAAATAATAGCTGAAATTAATCATAATAAACAATATAATTTAACTTAAAATAATTAATGATAATTATAAATAAGTAAATGATTAAAATCATAGTTAATAATTAATTATACTTTTGAAGGGTTGCAGTATTGTTAGGGTCTGCATTCTCGAACTCTAAGATATCCTCGAAGCTCTGCTCATACCTTTTTTGAAATAAATCAAAATTATATTACACAAAAACCACAATGCGTGAAATGAATGAATGAATGAATGAACTATTAATTATAATAATGATAATTATGATAATTTATATATTTATTCAATTAAAATAACGTTAAATAAAATAAAAATCAGTCCATCTATTCATCCACTCATCCATCTACTCGTTCATTTACCCATTCAATCATTCATTCATTCACCTATTCGTCCATTCATGGATTCATTCACTCATTCATTCATTCAAATCAAAGATTCGTTCACTCATTTATTTATTGAAAAAATATTGATGATGAAAATTACAGACCATCCTTTAACAATCTTAACGGAGGGCATTTCGAGTAACTTATCAGGCAGTAATTGGATTTCCTTCATAATGTTTGCCAGCCTGACCGGGATCTCTTTCCTCAAAAATAGGAATGACTGTTTTGACGAATTTGTCTTTTTACCTGGACAAAAATAATATTCAATGATACAAATATTTTGACAAAAAAGAATATATTCAGTTTTTAATTGATACTTTTAATGAATTTAAAGATTATATATATCTATTAAATCAAATAAAATTATAAAAAAACGTAGATATTAATATTAGTTCGAAAAATAATGACAACATTCTTAATAACATCATTCCTAATGTATTAAATTAAATAAATATAGTAAGTATTAGTAGCCTTAGAGGTCAAGGTCAGTTTTATGTACCTGATCTAATCACATTCTATTAGAGAGATAAAACAATATGTGTATGTGACTATGTACATACATATAGAATATAGATACACATAAAACAAATAATGCAATAGGAAGATAGAGAAATGAAATGATAATGTCTTAAAGCTAACTAAATTGTAGTTGTTAATAAAATCTTTTGAAAAGATTGAACTTTTTACTAACTAAAATCAATAAACTGCTGTATGGAGAGAACACTTGGATGGTACCTGCCATAGTAATCAATTGCTTTACCAGCCCCACGATAGAGTTGCAATGTGAACTTCATCCCTGATTGCCAGGGTGGGCTCCTACCTAACTTTCTTTATACTAAGATTAGTTATCACTGTGAAAACCACAAATTTGCTGAAACTTTGAAGCAAAAAAATTACGAAAATTATTCTTTGAAATGAACTTTCTTGAATCGTACGTTCAATTTTAAATGTCATAACATTATTTCAGAGAAAAACGATTTTTTCAGTCAAATGTTTGTAGTTTTTAAGCTGGAAAAATTTTTAAACCACACAAATTACGACACTATTTACGCGAAAATCTACAGCATAATGCATCAAAATGGAAACTTTTATGCAATAAATAAACTTATGGAAATATTTTCCAGCCAAATATGTCGTAAATTTGCAAATTAAATCATTAAATCTCAGTGAAAACAAAATTATTTTTGCCAAAAACCTATGACCCTAGGAAATATTTTAGTATAGATTAACTTTTAAAAACATCGTAAAAGAATAATGCAAAATTATTTCTTTTAAACAATAATTTGTGATTTTGATAATTTTTTACGACAAAATTTAATTTAACTATTCTAATTGTTTATAGTAGAGTTGAAAAAATTACTTCTTTAAAGTTTCTCTTAATTGTCAGCCGTAAATCTCCAACACTAGCAGTCCATTTAAATTTTAAATAGTTATTTTTAGCAGTGTTCATAGTACGTAAAATTTTGCAGTTTTGCCGTCAAAGTTCTCGTTTTTAAACTGGCCTCACACCCGTGACTGTGACTCATTAGGCAGATTCATAGAAATTAGTGATTGATTATTTGGAGTTTGTGATTTAACTGCACACGATTGGCATAAAAAGTGAGTTTTCTTTGTTATTCAAGAGAAGGAAGACAAAAGATTTTTTTAAACTATTAAAATTAATAGTCTTAAATAAAATTAAAATTTAATTTTAAAAAATTAAAGAACATTTTCTTAAATTTCGAAAAGAAGAAGACTATCCATCCAGTACCTAATCACCACTTAAAATCAAAAAATGAGCCTGTACCCAACTTTAGAAGACATGAAGGTTGATCATTACATCCAGGTTTCTTCATCTACCTTATTATTTTATAATTAGTTATCTCTTAATTGATAAACTGTACCTAAAATTAGTTCACCACCATTATTTTTTATGAAATTTATAATTAAAACACTTGAAAATACCGCATTTTTATTAGGCCCGGCAAAAAGTTGGGTCATCTTACAAATTTGATTTACAGTGTTAGGCCACACTAATAAGAGATGTGGAGCAGGTATCTAAATTTGAAATTTTAATTTGAATATTAATAACTTGACAACTTTTCATCAGGCCCAGCAGAGAGTAGCAGACTCATTCAACCAGCCAGCTCAACCACAACTACTTTACAACACCAACAACAACATCAATTATGGTTATAATTTAACACAGCAACAGCAAAATGCTGATCTATACCCCAGATTAGTGGAGTATATGGGGCTTAACATCACTCCTGAAATGCTCAACCAACAAAATGAACTCGCTCTGGCCCCGGCAAACAATCAAGTGGTTGCTTTTTTTATTTATTTTTTTTTAATTAAATTTAAAAGTTGAGGTTAAAATTTGATACTGTTGTTTATTTTTGCTAAATTTTAAATTTCAATCTGTATGTTATTTATACTAACCTATTTGGTTCATTGCCTCAATCAATCAGTTAATCATTTATTTATTTATTTTCATTTTGCATCATCTTCATCAGTTCACTAATTTATATTTTAATTTCACTTTTAATCTAAAAACAGATTGCCCAGCACTACACTTCTTCAGGCAATCAGATGCTTGTGGCTCCGGTCACCGGCCTCAACAATGCAGGCGTACTCAGGTCAGACGTGAAGCAGGGAATTAGGCAGGTTGTCCTTTGCAAGGATGCTAAGGGTTTCATCGGTCTCAAAGTTAAATCTGTTAATAAGGTTTGTGTTTGTTTGCGTGTTTTTGTGTTTGTTTGTGTGTTTGTTTGTGTGTTTGTTTATGTGTTTGTTTGTGTGTTTGTTTGTGTGTTTGCTTTTTGTTGATTTGGGATTGAGGGATGGTTAGTTGTTTTATTTATCTAGTAATTTTGAATTTTTTGGGATGGTTTTTCATAGAGAAATATGACTTGGGCTCCATTCTAAACATACTGCTTTCCAACATCAGTTGTTCATACATACATGATAACTACTAAAATTTTTTAAACTACCTAAAACTTTTCACCTACCCATCCCTAAAAATAGGGAATTTTCATTTGTTTCGTTGAATCTAACTCTCCGGCTGCCATGGTCGGTCTGAGATTTGGGGACCAAATTATTCAAATCAACGATGAACTTGTTGCTGGCTGGGACACTGATAAAACCATGAAGTTCCTCAAGAAGGCTGCACCTGAGAAAATTACTATGGCCATTAGAGATAGGTAATACTATTTTTGTTGTTATTAATGTTGTTGCTGTTATTATTATTATCATTCATAATGTTAATGTTTCGATTAATTTTTTCATCATTACACATCCCCAACTTCGACAGGCCTTTTGAGAGGACGATAACGATGCACAAGGATAGCTCGGGCACCGTGGGATTCATTTTCAATGAGAACAAGATCACTTCCATCGTTAAAGATTCATCAGCCGCCAGAAATGGACTCCTAATTGACCATCACATGGTCGAAGTTAATGGCCAGAATGTCATTGGAATGAAGGTACTTGTGTTACATTAGCAATATCTTTCTTTTTTTATCAACTTGAAAGTAGATATGTTACAGGTACCATGTTGCAGAACCAAAATTTCTAACTCAATACTTTTAATTCACTCAAAGGAGAAATATTATTTCTTGTTTTCTGTGTCTTAGAGAAATAAAAACGTTTCTCCTCTTGCATTAACTATCACTAAATGTCATAATATAATTATGCAAAAATATTTTTTTATGATATTATATTATTGTGGAAATAATTAAAATAAATTTTAAGGATAAAGAGATAAAAGATATATTTGAGAAAGCTGAGAGGACCATCACTATTACTATTTTACCTTCATTCATCTATGAACACATCATGAAGAGGTTTTTTGATTAATTAATTATTTATTTATTTACATTAACATTATTAATGATTATAATTGTTTTAATTAAATTTGTCAAAAAAGTAATTTATTTTATTATTCAATTAGTATTATTTCTATTTCTTAAAATCTTTTAATTAGTTTAACAAAAAAAATCGTTTCTCAGCATTGGTTGGAGCCTCGTCAGCAAAAGAATGGACCATTCCATTCCAGACGTTTAAGAAGTGTCCAAGATGAAAATACAATAATTTTTTTCTTTTCTTTTCATAGTATACACTCATGCTATTGTTGTAACGATATAAAAGTTTTAACACTTTTAATATAAACATTCATCTATTTATCTGAACAAATTTTATCACAATGACGTATTTAATTGCCTTTGACAAAGGCAACAATTAAAAACTTTGACGAAGTTTTACCTTATTAAATTTGCATTTATCACTGAAATGGAAAAAACATTTTCATAATAATTTGTTTACTTTATTTATTGTTATCTAATAATATTCGTTTTTTGTGGGTCTCATGCTTTAAATTCCTGTTTATTTGTACTTAATTTAATCGACATTTTCTGCATTCATGCCTGTCTATGTTTTATGTGCTTTTCAAATTGTTCTTGGTTATTAAATGTGTGCCACATTTCGTTTGATAAAATTGATACAAATGTATGTATGTATAGTTGTACATACAGTAATATTTGACAAGTAAACATGTTAAATGAACAAAGCTTTATGAATTGAGTTAGATTGTATAAAAGTCATGTTAAATTTGGCATAAAAATGTTAGTAATTTCAGTTGAACTTGGCGAAAAAGTTTTTTTAGTGAATTGTCTTCTCTTTCCATACACATGAGTTTAATAACATTTAACTTTATTAAAAGTTAACTTAAGTTAAGATTAAAACCTAAAATGTCTTCGGCGTCTAATCCGGCAGTTAGTAACTCGTTGGATCCCAGGAGACCTTTAAAAGTGCACAGGTTATTTTAAAAAAGTATAGATTTAATTTCTACTGTCAAAAAATGCAATATCTATGATCATCCTTTTCTCCCTGGTGATCTTGCACTTTTTTACTCTGATTGGGTGATTAAAATTAGAGTTCCTCGCTGAAAATAATTGTTCAGTTTAAATTTACTTCAAATGAAAAGATAGATAAATTATAGAAAATGTCTAAATTTTTTGTTTTTATAAATCTAACAAATATAATAGATAATTTTACTTTTTAAAATTAAAATTTCAGATATAAAGCGCCGCCTAGTGGGACCCAGTTAGATGATGCAACACCTGATTACATGAATTTGTTGGGGATGGTTTTCAGTATGTGTGGTCTCATGATGAAGGTTACAAAATTAAAAGCTAAAGTTGTTAAATATTTCAAATTCATTCTTTTTTGCATATATATATATTTATTTATTTTACAATATTTGTTATTTATATTATATTTATATTATTTCGTTTGATATTGTAATATTTTTAACATTTGAATAAAATTACTAATCAGATTTTAATAATATATTCTTAATTTTTTTATACTAGTTTTTTATTAACAATTATTTAAATATTAAAGTTAAATTAAAAAATGTTTTTAAAAAAATTTCAATACCCCAAACCCAGATGAAGTGGTGTGCCTGGGCAGCAGTTTATTGTGCGCTTATTTCATATGCTAACACAAGATCCTCAGAAGATACTAAACAAATGCTTAGCAGTTTCATGTCTGGTTCTCTTTAAATTTTCTTTAATGAGTTTTAAAATCTTTGTTCTATTAATAGCTCAGTATTTATTTTAATTAAATAATTAATTTTTATCCTTTTCAAAAATAAAGTTTAACAAATTCAATATTAATAACATTATCATGGCTCTCTTTCTTTCTCTTTTTTTCTCTCTCTCTTTCTACATATATCTTCTATAAATCTTCTATTTATAAATTTTTGTCCACAGGCTTTCGATATCAGCAGTGGTAATGTCCTACTTACAAAATCCGCAACCAATGGGCCTCTTATGGTAATGTATATCTTGATATATTAGGATCCAGACTATCAGATATACAATTGTTTAACACTGAGAATGCTGTGACTTCCCCAAACAACTGTGCATCTTGATATATGTATACACCTGTATTGTATATACATGTGTATATATCACTTATTTACACACATGCACACATTTATATTATATATATATATATATATATATATATATATATATATATATATATCTTTGGAATTAGTAATTATAGATATATGCATTTGGAATTTATTTGTTTAATGTAAAAATAAATCTGATTACTGTTTCGATGATTTTATTTTTAATTAATTTTAATTTGAGAGAAATAAATGATTGATAAATAGGAAATTTATATTGATTGTTCTGTTTTAATCATTTAATTGCAAAGAAATATATTTAAGTATAAATATAAACAAAACAAAGACACCAAAATATAACAATTAATTAGTTATTATTGTGACAAAATGTTACAACTACAACAAAAAAGACACATTATAACTCAGTACAACGAAAAAAACAACTTGAATAAATAACTCAATTATGTTATCTATGCTACCCCAAATAAATGCTATATATTAACCTTTTATTTAACAATGGCAAATGGAAAAATAAGTGAACAAAATTCAATCATTGAACGACAAATCAGTATTATTGTCCTGTACCGTAAAAATTGAAATGCAATCAAGTAATTGTATATATATATATATATATATATATATGTATATATATGTTGGTAATAGACCATAATTTTTACAATATTCTATAAATTCTACCGAATGTTTGGCGTTAACGAACTACAATTACATATTAACGCCAAACATTCGGTAGAATTTATAGAATATTGTAAATATATGTATATATATATATATGTATATTTATTCATTCATATGTATATATATGTACGTGTGTGTGTGTGTAGCAAAACTTAGATGAATATTGCATAATAATAATATAAAATGAATATTGAAACATAGCAAGACTGTTATGCCGGGTCAATTCTATATATACCTGATCAAACACAGAAATACACGTATACGGCGTACAACAGAAAATGATTAATCCTTTCATCAGGAAATGAATGAAAACGTGTGCGTGTGTGTGTATGTGTGTGTTAGTGTTATGAATTTTCAAAAATGAGACATATATTTTGGCTTCCATGTTATCCATAAACATTCATCCATCCAGCCGTTCATACATACATACATTCATTCACGCATCCAGCAATCCATTCATTTTAATTATTTTGTTTGATTAGACGATACGAAATATGAATTAAGTCAGTTAAATAAACTTTTAAACAAAGATATCCACTGTTACTATCAACTATTTGTGTATGTACGTATAGAAATATACATATATATACATACATAAAATGAATTTATGCATATACTTTTACATGCAATTCTGAATTGTAACTCGTAAATTGCGATATCTTTAGCAACAAACCATGTCGGAAGATAGAATCGTGTACAGCGTTCAGATAAAGACATTGCAAAAATTAAAAAAAATTTCAACCAGGTCAAAGTATAGTCGATAAAATTTCTGTATGTCTATTAAATATATTTTTTTTAAATAGTGAACCATCTAATCACTGATACAAAAATAGTAATAACCTCTATCATTAATCCGTATAATCATCATCCTCAATATTGATATTGTTGTAACAAGATATATAAGTTAATCCATGGATATATATATACTTTTATATATTATATATATATATTATAACTTATTATAACAACTTTAAAATCAAGCGGCCCTTACACAGATGCTAGTCTACTGAACCACTTTAAACTTTGTTATGTTATGTTATATCTTTGGTAACAAATAAAATATGGAAGGAATTTGTATAACGCTTCTAATAAAGTATTTAGATATGAACGAATGAATGAAATTTAGTTATGTTCGGTAATAATTTTGTCATTCAATAAATTATTATAAAATGATAATTTCGTGAAGATATAAATAAGGCTAATTTGCTAGTAATAATCAAGGATATGAAATGATAAATAGAATGAAGGAATGATGAGTAAATGAATGATCAGATGGATGGATGGATGATTGAATGAATGGATGATTATATAAATAGATATAAATAAGACTAATTTGCTAATATAACAATCACTAGTGACAATCGTAATATTGTGATATCAAACGAATGAATGAGTGTATAAAGGAATGAATGAATGAATGAATGAAAGAAAAAAGAATGAATGAATAAGTGAATGAATGAAAGAAAGGAATGAACGAAGGAATGAGAAAAAAATGAATGAAATGAATTTTTCCGAATTGAAGGACGGAATCTTTATTAAGATCATATCCACTTTTGATAACTCTTTATAAACAACTGATTGACTGAAGAACAAAATGGATGAATGAAAAAAAAATGAATGAACGAATGAATGAACAAACAAACGAACAAATAAATACACAAATAAACACGCAAAAAAACGACAACAATATAATAAATAAACAACAAAAGATTGAAAAAATGATTCAAAAAGATACTTGATTGCATATACAAAAGTAACAAACTAAAAATAGAAATGAAAATTTCCCATATATATATATATATACATATATAAACATATACATATATATATACATATATAAATATATATACATACGCGTATTTCTACACTATATATATATGCTATATATATATATATATATATATATATGTATACTATATATACTATATGTATATACTATAATTAAAACAAAGTATCAATGACAGGCTCTACATAGTGGTCGGGGTATAGTCCAACTTTACCATCTTTGAGACCAGTGCACCAGCCTTGTTCATCCCTATTTTTCAATTTCAGGAAAACCTCGCCTAAAATAAGGGAAAGATAAGAAAGTCGAATTGGTAATAGTAATCTTTGCTTTATGATATCCATGGTCGGATTGTTCTAATGGTGTAATGATTGTACTGCTATCGAGTGCAATAATAATAACATATATGGTTAGGAGTAATAGAATGTAAAAATTTCTTTGCTGTTGAATAATTTGAATGAATGAATGAATGAATGAATGAATGAATGAATGAATGAATGAATGAATGAATGAATGAATGAATGAATACAAAATTAATGACAGTCGACAGAACGAATGATAGAATCAATGATTAATTGATTGATTGATTGATTGATTGATTGATTGATTGATTGATTGATTGATTGATTGATTGATTGAACAAATGAACGAACGAATGAATGAAAAAAGTAAATGACTACGTAGACAGATTGAATTAATGAATGATAAACAGAATGAATGAACGACGGAATGAATAAATAAATAAATAAATATATACAACCAAGACTTAATTACCAGCTTTGAATGAGATCTCATCCTTTTCTCCACTCACGTAATCATATAGCGCTTTAACTTTTACGCCGTTCTTAACTACGTTAGTGTTGCTAAAATCGGCCGATGCCGATGTTTTTTCATTGGCTTGCCATATATTTTTATTCATTGCCGATATTGATGATGACGTCATTGATGACGTTGTCGAACTAACCGGGTCGCTATCGTCTTCAGGTATTGAGTTTAGTTGATTTCTTTGGAAAGAAAATTATTTTATTTCACTCCAGGGTAATAAGGTTAGATGGTTATGTTAAAATGCATTTAGCACATACAGAATTGCATACACAGATTAAAAGAGCGAACTAAGATAGTTAGTTGTAAATAATTGTTTTTGATATATACACCACACAAACATCTCACACACACACACACGCACACACTCGCACAAAACACCACCATTCAATCAACTAACCTATTACCACCACTGGCATATGAAGAAACACTACCCACATTGCTATAACCACTAGACTGAGAGTTACTATTATTATTATTATTACCATAATTATTATTATTATTAATAGTATTAGTAGAAGTATTTAGGGTCAAATTTGAAATTGGGTCACTTTTCTGAACGTAAGTTAACATGACGCCACCGTCTGCACTCTTGGTCGGCTTCGAGGTTATGCTGTGAAATTCGGTTATGTACTCTTCGAAAGTAGGCCAGGTCATCGCCATTTCGACCCCGTGGTTTTCGGACCACCATTTAAGATCTTTTTCCGGTTCCAACTTGTTGACTGATTGGGTGTAGTTGTTGTAGATAATTGGGATTCTGTTTGAGTAGGGAGAACAAAAAGTTATGCATATACACAAACATACATACGTACATACAAACATACATACAAACATACATAAATACATATACACACACATAAAAACATACATACAAACATACATACATATATACACACACACACATACATACTCAGTGAATTTAGTAAGATCTAAGCAAGACTGAAGTTTGAACAGGATTCCCTTTATGAAATTCAGTCTAACTTTCTCAAAATCCTGTGTCTTCTGAAAAACCTGTGGTTAAAAATAAAAACAGGGATGTGCTGACGTATGTTTTATGACGTCATATTGAGATTGCTGTACGCTGCTGTTGCTGTAGTTGCATGAAACCCTTATCACAGCTGATCTCAACAAACATACTGTTAAAAAAAACCGACCACCTGACCAACAACAAATATGTTACTAATTAAAACAACAACGATGATAACAAATATTATTATGATTAAGTATGATTAATTATGATTAACCATTATTATTATTATTATTGTTATTAAGGTACCTACCTCGGCCATATCCTCAATGTACCTTCCATTATAAGCATTGATCTCAATGAGGGCCTGCTCATACTTCTCCTTCATTATTATCACGTCCTTCTTGCACCTGTCGACTTTCTCTTGCAGCTTTCTTAACTAAATTATTAATCCATGAAATAAATTATAATTTCGCGGGCGGTCGCACGCACACACACACACATACACACACACACAAACGGGTACATACACACACATACACTACACATACATACATACACTACACATGCATACAAACTTGATCTAATGAAATTTCTGTGTTATTCTTTGCATTTGTCTCTTGGTTGATAGCTGTCCTCTCCAGCTTGCAAGCATTATGGTAATCTTTCTTACATTTTATAACTTTAGACAATTTCTTGCTCCATGGTTTTTGGGCCTAAAAATAATATTAATAATATTTGTGTATATATTAAAACAATTGTGATTTGGGCAATAGTTGACAGGATGGTGTAATGGTTTTATGCTACTGCTTACTACAACAACAACCTACTACTTCTTCAACTACTACTACTAGTGCTACTACTAACTACTAGTACTACTACTGCTACTACTACTACTACTACTACTACTACTACTTCTACTACTACTACTACTTCTACTACTACTAATACTACCGAGTTAAAAACATACAAGCAAACGAACAAACGTATATATCATAGACAAACGAACAAAAATAGGTCATAGACAAACGAACAGATGAACGTAAAAAAACGTAAAACCCTTTTGAAATCTTCTTCAAACGATTTTGCCTCCTTGCATCCACCGACCATCATCTGCTTCTTGTAATTCTCGTTCCTCCAATCTTTGATGTTGATTGAGATCTCGTTGTTGAGGCGTTCACGAATCGTTAGGTGGACGGATGCAAGTTTGTCCGATTCCTCCAATGACTCTTTCAAGGTTAACTTTGTTGAGCCATACTCGGAGCCTGTTTATGTGGATGTGTGTGTGTGTAGGTTTGTTGGTGTGTGCGTGCAACCGACCGACCGACCGACCAACCAACCAACCAACCACACCAAAACTAACACTTATCGAAATACTCGTTCCATCTCTTTGACCACATCTTAAGCCTCTTGGCATATTCCTTCTCGATCTCTGCCCTCTCTTGAATCATCTTTATGAGGTCATTGCAAGCCGTGAAACCATCTTCAGCCCGTTTGACGGTTCGCTTGTAGCAGTCAACCTCCCAGAAGCTATCGCTATTGGCTGTCGGTATGTCATCAGATGTCGACATTTCTTTAGTCTGTTTGTCCTTTTTTTAAATTATTTTACAGTGGCAACAATTTAATGTCGTTGTTGTTAATAACATTTAAAATAATTATAGGTAATAATTAAATTATTGCTGTTGACATAGCTTAATATTATAATTAGTAGTTAAAAGGGTAGTAGGTATGTAGTATTGTTGTGGTGTCAAACTCTGAAAGAAAAATGAATGCACTGAATCCAATGCAGTATATATTCTCACTCCTCTCTGCTGCTGTCGTATCAGCGTTCAATTCTCTCTCCCTCCCTCTTTCTTTCTCTCTCTCTCTCTCTCTCTCTCTCTCTCTCTCTCTTTCTCCCTTTTTATTAAAAGCACTTCAAATTTTTATTCAAATATGTCTCTCACAAACTTAACTTAAGTTAGAGTACACTACAAATAATGGAATATTATCAATAAATAGCAATAAATAGCACACACGCACACACACGCACACGCACGCACACACACGTATGGGAGCTATGGAGAAAGAAAAATAAAAACAGAGAGAAATAGAGAAACAGAGATAGATAGAGATAGAGAGAGAGAAAGAATGAGAGAGAGAGAGAGAGAGAAAGAGAGAAGGAGAGAGACAGACAAAACAAAAAATTAATAACACAAAACAAATAGAAAGAAAGAATGTAATATTGTAAGAAAAACAGGGTGGGAGAGAGAAAACGAGAGAGAAAGAGAAAGAGAGAGAGAAAGAAAGAGAGAGAGAAAGAGAGAGAAAAAAAAGAGAAAAAGAAAGGAGAAAAGAGAGAGAAAGACAGAAATAAATTTAAAAAATTGAAATGTGCTAATAAAGATGTTATAATTCATGGAAGCCATTAAGAACTTGAATCACAACTAGAAACCTGTTTGTATATGTGTGTGTGTGTGTATGTCTGTGTGTGTGTGTGTGTGTGTGTGTGTGTGTGTGTGTGTGTGTGTGTGTGTGTGTGTGTGTGTGTGCATTGTACATTCAGCAAACAGTCTGTATGTATAACAGCTTAGATATAATATATGACTGTCACTAATTGAATACATCCACAAATTGAAATTGATTAGGCACTGTTGGAAAAAGAGAGAGAGAGAAAAGAAAGTAAGAGAGAGAGAGAGAGAGAGAGAGAAAAGAGAGAGAGAAAAAAGAGAGAGAGAGGGCAAATTAAAAAAGGTGTGTCTGTTTGTCTGTCTGTATATATGTGTGAATGTTTGTATGTACAAGAATGTTTAATTAGTGATAAATTTATATGATGTAACAATTTTTATACATTTTTTCAGATGATGAGTGTGGATGGGAGTGCTGGTATGCTTGACATTATCTTTTATGTATTTTTATTTCTCTGTGTGTGTGTGTGTATGTCAGCGTGTATGTGCTAGCATGTCTATATGTATGTGTAGGTGTATATGTATGTATATGAGATTGCCTTTATCTATATGTGTTGGTTGAGAAATATGAAAAAAGTTTATCATTTTGTTCATCATTTTCATTATCATTATTAATATTATTATTATTAATACATTTATATTTATGTTCTTCTGATTGTTTATTAATTGTAATGACCCAAACTTGAATTTGTAATGAAAGAGCTTATGAGAGGTTTGTTTGATCATCAGACACACTGACTAAAATCTTAACTTAATGAACATTTTTGAGCATTCTACGCAAATATATCGGCATCAAAATATCGTTCACGCTAAATATAAAATAAAAAAAACTAATTAGATGACTAAAACGACATTTTTGAAAAAATTCTTTTAGAAATTAACTTTTAAATTCAAATTTCCAAATTAAAATAAAATTTTAAAAATATGACAAATACTTCAAAACGACGCAGACCAGAGTAGAAATTTGAGCGGAAAAGCAATAAAATTAAAATATAAAAATTTAATTTAGCAAAAAAAATTAATTTTGAATCAGTAAATTGCCAAAAATTTCGATTTTAATGAAAAAAAATCTCGAAACTCACGCAGCCAAACAGGCTAATAAAGGTGCTTCGTGTTTCACTTATGTAAAACGTTGATTATGACAAAATTTTAAATTTGGCTTTTTAGTGACAAAAATTTAAAGCAGCACTGTGACAGCTTTTCATTTTAACTTCTAACAATCAACTTTAAGTTAAGTTTGACAAATTTTTGTGTAAAATATATGAATGATAAAAGTATTTTAAAATCCCCAATTTAAATAGTTATTATTTTTGATGCATTTTACATCTTAAATACGCACATGAAGGTTTTATTATAAAACGCAATTGCATGGCATTAAAAATTACTGTATACTCCCTCGAACTGTATGCAAAGCGTTTTGTTATTTATTACTGCTTAACTTGCTAGTTGATCGTGGTCAGGAATTTGGATGGGTGACACATATTATCTTACATTATAAAAATATAGAAAAAATTTGTATATGAAATTTTTGTTGGGCATGAATTTTTGGCTAATATGTTGAGTCTTCACCGATTTTGAAGTTAGACCCAATGAATTGCTCATCTCGTCATTTCCAGCTTTTTTCAATAAAACTATCTTTGCCAATAAAAATTCCGATTCTGATCAGTAGTTTTTAAGATATCAGCCTTTAAAGTTACCATGTACTAAATACTAAGATATCTTAACCTTTAAAGTTATCTAAATCACACTTCCCCACTTGTTTCTCATGTTTTTTTTCAACGCTTAACATAACATAACAAAGATTTTCATAGAGATCTAAGACCACTCTGAGGTCTTTTTTAAAATCCTACTTTTGCTAAGTTTGCTTCAAAGTTATTAGTTGTTTCTGCGCATATAATCTCATCTCCCAGTTTGTTTCACTCATTGACAACTCTGCAGCTGAAAAATTTTTGCTTTATCGATTCCAAGCTTTTTTTAAAAGATCTAATATTTATGTCCCATTGTTTTACTGTTCATCTTAAGCTCAAAAAATTTTGCTGATTCAAAATTCTTCTTCATAGTGATGATTTTGTATGCCTGAATTAAATCTCTACTTGTTCTAATTTTTTTCTAATGTTGTCAATCGACAAACTTTTAATCTGTCTTCGTTTGGCATACCGCGACACTCCTTTATCATTCTCGTTGCCCTTCTATGAATATTCTCGAGCATGTTTGTCCTTTTGTAAATCTGGATTCCAAAGCTGAACAGAGTATTCCAACTTAGTTCGAACCAATGCTTTATACTGGTTTGATATGACGATCATATATCTCCTTTTTACCTTTCTTTTTATCATACCCAGAGTCCTGCTAGCACTTTTAGCAGCCTCGATGCATGGCCAATCCTCTACCCATTTGCATATTTTTTGCAAATCGCATGCTAATATTTCATTATCTTTATCGTTGTCTAAAACGTCACATTATTTAGTGTCATCTGCAAATTTAAAACATTCCCATGATAACAATCCCTCAATTTCGGCAGTAGAGAATTTTCCAGGCGTTGAGTGAGGTTCAATTAACATGCAAACAAACACTTGTACCGTACATTTCAAGTCTTTTTCAAGAAACTGTTTTATTAATTATTAAAGAGCAACGAAACCGAAACAAAAATAACAATTGAAAAACTTTTGAGGGAAAACCCCGAGTTAAAAATAAAAAGCTCTTAAAAATATGGTTACAGTCATCCTAATGTTACTAGTAGAGTATATGAAAATAGGATTTCATCAATTGATTATCTCCAGTATAAACTTTACGCTAATTATTAAGCCTCTTAATTAAATGGATAATAATAATAATTACAATAATAATAATAAAAATAATAGATCTATCACGGTCGATTGACAGCATATGTTATGAGAGCATGTTGAACTATTTTCTTTCAAAATTTTACCTAACCAGCCATAATACAATGCAATAACAACATACAAAAATATGTATATGTGTGTGGCGTGTGTGTATGTGCGTGCGGTGTGTGTCTGTGTATGTCTGTCTGTCTGTCTGTGTATTTATTTACATTTTTACTGAACAAAACTATAACTTGCTAGCATCATATCATAAATTAATTACCAAGGTTCAAATATCACCCTGCTATTTGTAAATAGAATGAGTGAGAGATGCTATTATTATTATTATTATGATTATTATTATTAGTAGTAAACAACATCATAACTATATATATATATATATATATATTATATATATATATATATATATATATATATCCCAAAGTTTTTGTATAAATTAAGCCAAGCGGTTGAGTTATGAAATACTATCTATCTGTGTGGAGTACTCCGCTGATTTTCGTTTACTTTATTTTAAGTAGTAAAATTAATTTGAGTTTTGATTAATTTATTAATATAATATTAATTGATATATTATTATTAATAATAATCATTATTTATGGTAATATTTTGAAAGAGGTTAACTTACTGTATATACCTATATATATATATAAATTTGTGACACCTTACAATATATAACAATAATGTAAATGACCAGACAACAACAACAACAGCAACAACAACAAAAAAAACAACACTAAACATGCGAAAAACTGAATCCAACTTCGTTTAATATCTTTAAGAGACCTTTTACAATAGATTACAACTTAGTAACGAGGTTACATAATGTAGTGGGTGGATAAGAGCAGACAAGACGCGCTAAATAATCGTTTTTATAATAAAATAAAGTCTATTTTTTGGAAAAGAGATAAAAAGAACCACCATACAAAAGCAACGATGGAAAACGGGGAGCTGAGTGTAGGAGGAATTTTATGTTAGATATTTTATTGTATCATTGTATAATTGTAATATTAATAATTATTTTTTTATGAATAATTTTTCCAAATTGCATACAAATACTTCTGGATCAATGGTCAGCACATGGCACGGATCTCTAGGGAATCGAATCCAGTCACTGCGTCTTTAAACATTTTTGTTTCACGCAACGATATACGCCAGGGTAGGCAAACTACGGCCCGCGAAGCTATTTTATGCGGCCCGCGAAGCCTAGTTCGCCATAAAGAAGATCGTCAGCCAGACATTAAGACCAAAAAAGACTCCCGGGTGGAAACATTTTGCTATTTAAGTACATATGCGGCCCTTCAAAGGTAAAATAGTTCTCAATGCGGCCCTCACAGCATAAAGTTTGCCCACCCCTGATATACACAATACTTCATTTTATATGAAGCTAGGCAAGTATTAATTTGACTTATTTACTTATTTACATACAAACATATATATACACACACAAACACACGCACACACGTACATTTATATAAATAAATTTAAATATACATATACATATTTATAATATGTATATATATATATATATATATATATATATATATATATAGCAATAAATTATTCAAAATTCATGAGATACTGTATGATTAATCTTATAGATTATGTAAAAGTCACTTGAGTCATTATCGCGCAGTAATAATTACAGATTTCCTTCCTAATTTGAGAATTGTGTCGGCCAATTGCCTAATTTACGTGACGATAATACAGCGTGTTGGGAGATATTTTTATATAACTTGACTTATTAAACACGAGATAAGCACGTGCTTGGTGCATGCTGTTTAATATAAACAAAGAACTTTATAAATGTTTATAAATGTTAAAATTTCTTTGCTTTTAACTTCCATTCACTTTTCACATTCGATCGCCGTACTCAAGGTATTTAAAATTTCGGTTTTGAGAGCTGATTTTATTTCAAAAAAATTATTTTTCCCTAATTTTGAAAGAAAATTTAAAAACTGTTCCGAGATGCATTGCAGTAAAGGTTTGGCATTTTTTAAAAATTATTTGAAAATATATTGCTTTTGCAATTTTATTTTTTTTTTTTAAATTTTTTCACCTTCTTTAGCAAGCAGCACTTAGCATTAGCCTAGTTATATTTTAACTATTCATATTTTTTACAAAATTTTTAATAAATTTCAATTTAAAATACTATTTAAAATTATTTTTTACTTTTTGGAGTTTAAAAGATTTAGTATAAATAAACGTTGCACGCTTTGTAAATGCAATGCAGGCTTTGATGAAACATTGGTTCGCATAATTATTCTTTCTTTATAATTTGTATTGTAGTTTATACAGTCAGGCTCAATGCTTTCATTATATTAGATTAGATTAGGTGGGCAGGTAAAATTACTTTTACTTCGACACCGATCAACTGATTTAACATGGATGCAAACATGAAAATCATAATAGAACATTTTTCAATGTATGTAGTATAATTAAAATTAAAAGAAATAGGTTTTATGAGACTTCATCAGTGTCTGTCATGTAGATATATTGGTAGAGTCATTACTACTAATAAAACTAAAATTAGATTAGAGTGTAATTACAGTTTTACTTGAAATTTTATTTATTATTTAAATTTTTAATTTAGGGTGAGTAAATTAGGAAAAATTTGTGAAAAAATATGACAAAAGATTAAAATATAGAGTTGCTTTCTTAGCTTAAATGACTTTAATTCTTTATATATTTTTCATTCACAAACAAACTCCTTGTCACTAAACTATAACTCTTAACTACTTATTTTCTCATTTCATTGGTTTTATTCACTATCAAATCTACATTTATGAATAAAGATTTTATATATACATAATTTGCATATATAAATATATATATATATATAAGAATATATATATATATATATATAATAAATATTGTTTTTTTATCAATAGTTTTTGTGCAATTTCGATAAATACATATACGAAACTCAACGACCTACACTCCTAAGATCAAAGAAAGTGTTTTTAGTGTGAGAATTATTATTATTGGTTATTATTATTATTAAAAAAGGGCAATTTTGTCAAGGGTCTTATATGACTCTTATAAATAAAACTCAGAACGAATGTCAATAATGTTAATAGAAACTGCAATAATACTGCTGCTACTACTGCTGCTTTTACGACTACTACTACTACTACTGCTACTGCTACTCCTACTACTACTTCTATGCTACTACTACTACTGCTGCTCCTACTACTACTTCTATGCTGCTACTACTACTATTTTTATAACATACCTATCATCATCGTCAAGCTTTTCAATCTTCAATGTCAAGGTCTACAGGTTTAGAATGTCATTCTATATATATATATGTATAAATAAATAAATATATATATATTTATATATATATATATATATAACTATATATACATATATACATGTTTGTTTACACACACAGACATTTTTGGGACAAAAAAATTTAATACTGATAATTATTTATCACTTGTCCCAGATCTTTATGGCATTTAGAGTTTTTTTTTTCAGGGAAATTTTTTTCTAATGTTTGTTTGTTAGTTGTTTGATTTGCAGTTTCTATGTGTATGTGAGTGTGTGTGTACGTGTATATGTGCGTACGTGTTTATGTAGGTATGTATGTGTATATTTTTAGAGCCAACCACCCAATCTAGTAGCTTATGTTTCTTGTAATAAGGACATGAAAGTTGTAAACAGATACTAAAATATTTCTGTTTACACATACAAACACGCATACATACATACACACAAACATACACTTATACATACAAACATATATACGTACATACATACATGCATACATACATCCATTCACATAGATACAAAACGTACATGTATGTATGTTTTGTTTATTCATTCACTCATTTGATCATACCTCCTCTCTATCTATTGCGTGTTTTGTATTATTTCAAATTATTTATTTATC